ATAATAATAATAATAATAATAATAATAATAATAATAGTTTGAATATATCAACAAAGTTGAAATGGAAAATTGGCCACCGTTACGGTTATAAAAGCTGACGTTCCGAGCGTTAGCCCTTCGTCGGAGCGAATAGGGGAGTTGAGGGTTGTGTGTGCTTTCAAAGGCAGAAAGTGGAGCTACGTGATTGGTGGGAACATGGCAACGAGAAAAACACGAATAAATTAGTGGAATGAAAAGCATTCGTTGATACCTGTGGGATTTAAACTGCCGGTTTGAAAGATGAGCTTTTGTTCAAGAGTTTTGCGGCTTTCCGTGCTACCTATGTGTAAGGAAAGACCGCAGATTGCCATATGTTGCTCAGAATGACCAACCACGCACTTTTAAATGCGCTCGTGCGAGATGCAAAACGTGCCCTTTCACTCACAACACTGAGAAAATATCGTGACCCAAACGATCTATTAAGATCACCGATCACTTCACGTGCACCTCCGCCAATGCAATCTATTGCATAACTCGCACTTATTGCAAAAAGACTTACATCGGCGAAACAGGCAAAAGACTAGGTGACCGATTCCGAGAAAACCTTCGCGACCTGGAGAGGAATGACAAGGACACATCGAAGCCAGTCGCTAGATATTTTAATTTACCCGATTATTCTAAGCAACATATGGCAATCTGCGGTCTTTCCTTGCACTTAGGTAGCACGGAAAGCCGTAAAACTCTTGAACAAAAGCTCATCTTTCAAACCGGCAGTCTCAATCCCGCAGAGGTCAACGAACGCTTTTTATTCCACTAATTTATTCATGTTTTTCTCGTTGCCATGTTCCCACCAATAACGTAGCTCCATTTTCTGCCTTTAAAAGCCCACACAACCCACAATTCCTCTATTCGCTCCGACGAAGGGCTAACGCTCGAAACGTCAGCTTTGGTAATCGTTGCGGTGGCCAATTTACCATTTCAACTTTGTTGATATATTCAAATTTTTTCGTTACTCCCACCGACGCAGCCTCAAACAGTTTCTTTCGAAACTATCAGCCTAAATCTCTTGAAGGCTGTTGGCGTAGATGGAATCTTACCGCGTCTTTTAAGGCTCGCTGCTCCCATCCTAACAGAGAAGATAACAAAGCTGATCAACTATCTGATTATGAACCAATCATGGCCAACTGAATGGAAGAGTGGGAGCTTGTCACCGGTATTTAAAAAAGATGAGGATACACGCGAAGAAAATTATAGTCCTGTTTCCATTCTTAACGCCATTCTTAAGTGTACGAGAAGGTTATGTTTGACCAGCTGTACGGCGCTTTCCATGAACATCTTTCTCCGAATCTGTCTGGTTTCTTGAAGAACACTCTTGTTGCACCGCACTCTTAAAGATGACTGAGGACTGGAGGCGAAGCCTTGACAAAAGGGAGGCAGTTATAGCCGTGGCAGTGGACCTGTCCAAAGCATTTGATTCTATTAACTATAACCTCCTATTGGCTAAATTACAAGCGTATGGCTCCCCTCCGTCTGCATTAAACTTCATTTCTTCCTATTTGTTGGGGCGAAGACAGCGAGTTAAGTTGTTCCGTGTTTGCTCCAGCTACTCAGAAGTAATGGTGGGCGTCCCCCAAGGGTCCCTCATCCAACCGGTGTTGTTTAACATTTATATATATGACTTGAACTACGCCATACCGGATGTACCTCTGAGGTTATACGCCGACGACACAACTATGTATGCCTCGAATTTGTAGTGAATAATGGTCTTGAGCGGTTATCATCGTGTTTTCTAGAGAATCATGCGGTGATCAACAACACAAAGACGGAAGCAGTACCCATTGGTCTCTGTAAGTACAGTTACGACCTGACTATACATAGCTCTGTCATTGTGACACTGCCATCTATCAAAATACTTGGCGTTGAGCTTGATAGCATGCTATCTTTCAAGGAGAACATTACTAACAGCTTCAAAAGGTATACGCTAACAGTGGTGCACTTAGGAGAGTCAGGCGTTTTGTCCTTGGCAATGTTATGTTAAGACTCTATAAAACTTTCATTCCCCCTCATTTTGAATACTGTTACCCCCTCTTTCTTGGATTGGGGAAAGTGCAAGCGAATCGGCTAGAAGATGCCAACTATTATATTCTTAGATCACTGCTAGGTTATCGCAAGTCTACCCTTTATGATGAATTGCTGCGAATCTTGAATATGGAAACGTTAGAGCAGAGAAGGAAACAACAATCCCTTATTCTGTTATATCTATGTTTGCATAACGACGGTCCCAAATATATCAGAGATTTTTT